GGTGCTCCTATGGCCGTCTGGCGCACTCGGAGGCCGTCTCGGGAGAGTCTGCGGGCCCCTCTTGAGGCCGTGTCGGGGCCGTCTTGGCGTTTTCCATGGTCATCTCGGGGCCGTCCTGGTTCCTCTGGACGCCCGAAATGGGTACCGAAAGAATGGGTAAAATGTCCAACAACAATTCCTGTTCATTTTGAACAGGATTCGCTGTCCGCGCCGCCGCAGCCTGTGTCCATTCGAGACAGAAGGTCGCCTGCCCAACAGCGGCCGCTGTTGGCTTGGGACAACATTTGTTGTTGGGCATAGTGCCCATTTCTTCAGTACCCATTTCGGGCGTCCAAAGTCCCTAGTGGGGCATCTGGTGACTCTTGTAGGCTGTCCTTGGGGTCCTCGTGGCAGCCCTGGACGCGCCCAAGACAGCAACCGCGAGAACCGTCGGAAGACACTGGAGGCCATATTGCCACATGGTCTGTCAGTTGTGTCAGCCTGTCGGGTCGACCCCGAGGGTCCCCAAGACGACCCAAGGGGACCCGAAAAGAGTAGGGCTATATTTAGGCCATCGGGCCATCTTGTGCCCTCTTCAGGCCATTTTGGCCGCCTCGTAGGCGTCTTTGGGACCGCCTTGGGGGCCACGCATTCGACGAGCCAGTGCCGCCCATGCCTAGTGGGAACGACTGTGTCGTGACGCGTCGAGCGAAAGTGCGAACGCGCTAGTAGATTGCGCGTGTTTCCCCAGTCTTTGGGAGAATCACTCGAGAAACACTGGAGAGCGTCGTGGGAGTGCCTTATGGCTCTTTTCTGTCTTTCTGGGCCTTCTCGGCGCCTGCTTGGTTTCAGTGATTCAGGACGTTCTTGTGTTTTGTTTTGGGATTTATGTTATTCGATCTCCCGCTCTCTCTTTTTTTTTTTTTTCTCTCTCTCTCTCTCTCTTTTCAAAGCGATGTGTAAATTGCTATCAAAAAGAATTATATGGCGCAGCACCGCAAACGGATTTCATGTGCGACCCATGGAAACGAAATCAATGTGCGAATCGCCAACGAAAAGGGCTACGATTGTAAAGCGCAAGAAAAAAGACTCGAATCGCAATCCACACAATTGGGTTCAACATGTGAGCCCACCACAAAACCGCACAGCCACGTAGAAGGATTTTGTTTACAAGCCACACTGTAGCAGTCAAACTCTTAATCTACCGCAGCAGGGATGACCCACGAGTGGGTTTTAGCTGCAATCCACACATTGGAGATCAATTGGTAAATCGCCCGAACCGCCCGCAAAATGATGCATCTTCTCTTGGCAAACAAATTGTAAACAGTTTGGGAGGAGCCCACCTCCTTAGAACAAAATCGGAACACTGCACATTCGCCCCGCCCGCCGAAAAACCTGGGACCGGCACACCATTTCAAGCATGTTTGCCTTCTCCCAAACTGTGTCTGGCCCCCCATCGCAAGAAATCCGTGTGTGTGTGGGGGATGTACAATTTGTTGATTAATGGAGGATGACGATTAATAAATGACCGGGGGTCGTGTTCACGCGGCGGCGCCCGGGATGACGATTAGAAAAAACCAGCCGCGGGCTGGAAAACTATTTTTTTAAAGCGTTCTCCTCCAGTCCGAAATTTTGTACAGAAATCGCAGAAAACTATGTTTTAAAATCGTTCCCTCCCATTTTTTTATTAATCGGCACCCCGCATTACAGTCGGGGCCCTGAAGAAGGAACCCTTGCTCCGCGTTCCTTAAGTGTTTCACAGCTTGCCTCAGGCTTTCCTTATGTTTTCGACGGGAAATCGAAGGTTAACTCATGGGAAAAAAGGGCCTCGTTCCTTATTTAGGGTTCCATAGGTCAACGCCTCGACTGTATTCCCAATCAGTGCTCGCACTGAAGGGGTCCCAGCGGATATGGACGGCCTTGGCGGCAGCTCCAGGCCGACCTCCGTGGGCGGCCAGGTTCCTGGGTTCCTGGCTCCGGCTCCGGGTGCCGGACCAGTTTCGGTGGGCGGCGGCACCGTAACGGGTATTTAGTTATTAACGGGTATCTTGATTTTTTGCCGAAAGTTGCCACTTTAGGGGCTTTTTCTTGCATTGCAGCTTTGCCCACATCGGGAAGGGCTGGGTTCGCTGGGTCACTGGCCAGAGTACCCGTTAGTGGAGTCCCCGTTTGAGGGGCGCTGAGGTGGGCGGCGGGGGCTCCCGCGTTCCAGGTCGATCTTCTCATCGATTGGTCTCGCCATCGATCTCATCGCGCACCTCCCCCTCGATCTCACGATCGATCTCACAGTCGATTTCATCATCGATCTCCTCATTGACGCGACTTCACTGAACTATCGGTCTCACGATCGACCTTAACAATCGTCATCATGATCGATTCCGCTATCGATCTCACAATCGATCTCAATATCCATACCATTAGTTTTCATACCATCTTCTGATTGGGGTTTTTTCTTCTGGTGCAGTTGAAGGATTTGGCGAAAGTTCTGGGCCGATTTCGGTGGGCGGCCGGGTTCCCGGGTTCCCAGCTCCGGTTCCGGGTTTTGGGCAAATTTCGGTTGGCGGCGGGGTTCCTGGGTTCCCGGGTTCTTGGTCGATCTTCTTATCGATCGGTCTCACCATCGATCTCATTACACACCTCTCTATCGATCTCACTATCGATCTCACAGTCGGTTTCACCATCGATCTCACAATCGATCTCATTACATCTTGCACGAGTGATCTCACGGTCGCTCTCATTACCGATCGCATTGAATCGACTATACTATCGGTCTCACGATCGACTTTACAATCGTCCTCACTATCGATTCCATTTTCGATATCACAGTCGATCTCAGTATCCATATCACTATTTTCATACTATCTACTGATTGGGGTTTCTCTTTGGTGCAATTGTGTGGAGTATAAGTGACGTCTTCGCAGGATTGTGCATAAGGATGCCTTCTGTTGCCGATGTACCAATTGATTCCTACGCGTGGTTCGCAAGTGTTTCTTTTTTTGCAGGGCTGTAGAAAAGGTTTCACTTTTGTAGGGATTGGCACATTGTACCATTGCACATCAACTCCGCGCATGGGGCTTTATAATAGAATTTCTGTGTGGACGATATACATCTAGATTTCTACTACGAGGCATTTGCGCATTGTTTTCGTCGCGAAGGTATTCGAAACGATGTGAAGAAAAGCACGCCACGCAAACCACCACCAAGCAACAGAGCATATCAGACGACAAAAGATGGGAACGTCATGGAACCGAGTCGCCTTTCGGGGGTTCCCCTGGGGCTCTCTTGGGCCATCTTGGGGCTCCCTCGGGCCGCCGTAAGGTTCTTTTTTGCCGTCCAGCGCATTCGGAGGCTGCCGCGGGGGCCTCTGTGGGCCGTTTTGGGGCCGTCCTGGGGGCTCCTCGGCCTGTCGTGGGGCTTTCTCGGGCCATCGTGAGACTCTTGGGTCGCGTTGTTGGCCCGTTGTGCCGTCTTGGATGCTCTTCAGACCGAAGCGGCGAGAATCAACTTAGATGAAAGCCATGTTGGTGTTCAGTGATGTTGGTCTCTTTTTGGGTTGTCCCCGCCGGCCCCGAGATGGGCCCACAGGGACCCGCAAAGAGCTTCTTGGACCCTCTTACGGCCATCTTGGTCCCTCTCAGGGTCACCTCGGCGATCTTGGCGGCGTTGCGGGGCCGTCTTGGAGGCCCACTTGTGCAATAAGAGCTTGGACGGAACATCCCGCGGGATCCAAGCGCCTCTCCGGCAGGCCATGGGGCCGGCAGATGTAGGACGTCTGCAGCGAGTCGCCGCTGCCCATGCCTTCTGGGAACGCCTGCGCCGTGAGATGTCGAGCGCAGGTGTAGCCGCGCTGGTGGACTGGGTGACCAGAGGGATCGGTCGAGATCCCACTGGGAGCATGCTGGAAGGGCCGACAACCATTCACAAGTCTGGCACGCCACGCGCTCCTGTGGCAAGCCAGAGGGGGTGCGGGATCGGAGACGCCTATGGCGAATCACCGCCGCCCCCTGCCTGTTGGAAGTGCCTATGTGGCAAGACGTCGGGCCATAGTCTGGCTAAGATGTTGGACTATGTGCTCCTCCAGCCGATGTGGAAACCTTTGCGGACACATCTTGCGGAGGAAGACAAAGGGGAGGACAAAGGAGAGGCAGAAGAGGGAAACACGGAAAACGGTAAAGCCTTTTGGGATTTTTTTGGCGGCCTCTTGTCGGCCTCTGAAGGGCTGTTTGGGGCCCGCATGGGAGCATACTGGGCCGCCGGCTTCCTTGGCCAGTCGGACATTTTTGAATGCCATGTTGGGCGCCTCTCTGGGCCGTCTTGGGGTCTTCTCGACGCTGAAGGGCCGTCTTGTATCTCTCTTGGGACCCTCTTGGGGCTCTCTTGGGGGTTTCTTGGGCCGTGGTCGGGGCTACGTTGGAGGCCCCTGAGCCGTCTTCGGCTGTCTGACGCCCGAAAGGCGAAGACCGGCACATCATTGATCAACCGAAGGGAAATCAAGGATTTCAGTCGTTTTGGTCCCTCCTGGAGGGCCTCTTGGCGGCCTCTTGGGCCATCTTGGGCGGTCTTTGGGCCATGGTGGGCTGTCTTGCAGGCATCTCGGGCGAAGTTGGAGACCTCTTGGGCTTTCTTTGGCCGCTTCTAGGGGCCATCCTTTCACGTTTTGGCACTCTCTGGGGCTTGTCTTGGGATGTCTTGGCGGCCATTGGGGCCCTTCTGGGTGTTCTCTTGGGCTGTCGTGAAATCCTCTTGGGCCCCCCCTGGGACACTCTTGGGTCATCTTGGATAGCTTTCAGTCTGTCTTGTGGCATTGTGCTGACCATCTCCATGACCACCACCGTCGTCGTCCTGATTTTCAGCATCAAAGAACTCATCACTCGTCAGCGTCACCATCAGTTCCCCTCGTCTGTCCGGGGCTCAGGGCCACCATGGTCTCGTCAGCACACTTGACCCACCACATCCCCTTCTCTACACGTGCTGCTTCGGGAAGTCTGCCGTACTGACGTGGCGTTATCGTCCTCCTTCGAATGGCCCCCGTCCGCGCCGTCCTGGCCGTGGCCGCCCTCGCAGCTGCAGGAGGTGTGCAGATCTCGGGGGCCGGGTCGGCGGCCGAGCGCGCCGGCCCGGGGCCGCAGCGCGGGCAGGCCGCGGTGCCCGGGTGGCTGCCGCGCGACACGGAGGTTGCTGGCGAGAAGAGAGGCACCTGGAGGGTTTCTCCGAAGGGCTTAGGCGACCCGTCCTCCCCCTCCTCCTCCTCTCCTCCTCCTCTTCCTCTTCCTCCTCCTCCTCCCTCCTCCTCCTCCTCCTCCAACCTCCTCCTCCTCCTCCGCCTCCTCCTCCTCCTCGTCCTCGGGTCGCCTACGGCCCCGGGGGAAACCGGGCAGAGGCACCCTGGCCGAAGCCGGTCCGCCAGACACCGTGGTGATCAACGCTACGGAGGGCTCGGTGGCGTTGCCGGCATGGTACTCACCACCCACCAAACCACCCCAACCCAACCCGAAGGCCTCAATTTGGTCTCCGTTTCCAGTGGTGGGGGGTCGGGGAACATCGAGAAAACACGGGCGGAGCCCTTACCCCCCCCCCAACCCGAACTTCGGGTCTTCGGGTTGGGTTGGGGTGATCTGGTAGGTACTCCAGATTTCGTAATAAAAGGGAGGGGGTCTGGACCCTCCAAGACAAGCCATTTCAGACCTCCCCCGTGGGAGAACCCTCCAAAACATCGCCCCCAGACACCCCCAGGCCCTCCAAGATAGCCTGGAAGAGACCCCCCCCCGAAATGAGACCCCCCTCCCTTTATTACGAAATCTGGAGTAGTCAGGTACGGGTCTTCGGGTTGGGTTGGGGTGGTCTGGTAGGTACGGTAGGTTTGTGTCGTGTCGACCGGCGGCGACCCCGCCAGCGGCGTTCAACGTTGAACGCCGCGGGGGACCCAATCGTTCGATGTGGAGCGATTGGGACGTTTCGGAAACGGCCGATCGTTCAAGGTTGAACGATCCCCGCGGTGTCAGGAACCAACGCCGGGGTCGACACGACACGAACCTGCCGTAGTCAGGTACGGGCGAATGGGCAACAACATCCTGCAGCTGGTGAACGCGATACTGTTCTGTCAGGCGGAGGGGCTCACGACGCTGCGCCTGCCTGCGGCCAGCAACGGGACGCGGCCTCACTCGTCATCCAGGGCGGCGGACATGTTCGACCTCCCCAGGGATCGGGGACGGAAAAGAGGGGGGTGATGACTACTCCAGATTTCGTAACAAAAGGGAGGGGGTCTGGACCCTCCAAGACAAGCCATTTCAGACCCCCCCCCTGGGAGGACCCTCCAAAACATCGTCCCCAGACACCCCCAGGCCCTCCAAGATAGCCTGGAAGAGACCCCCCCCGAAATGAGACCCCCCTCCCTTTATTACGAAATCTGGAGTATCATGGCGTGTGCCATGATATTTCCCCAGATTTTCATGGCGCCTCTGCTTATTTCATTACGTCCCTGGCCCCGCTGGGCCGCGCACGTGCCGCCGGTCATGATTTGCACCCCCCCCTCTTGGACACCCCCCTCTTGGCCGCTCCCGAAAGGAGATCAAGATCACCCCCCGCTCTGATTTGAAGCTCGGCTGCAACTTTCACAAGATGAGACTGTTCTTTGGCCGATGTGCGGCGGTTTCCAAGAGCCTCTTCCGCCAGACTGCGGAGGAGTATTTGTTCCCACTCATGAATGGAGCCTGGCAAAGCGCGTGCCAGGATGAACGTGCCCGGCAGGATAACCACACTTTCAACGGGCTAACGATCCATTTGCGCAGCGGGGACTCGAGGAGGGATCTGAAGTTGCCACAGTTTGCTTACGCATCGTGCAGCTTCTTCAAAAAAATAATGTCCGTCCACGGATTTGAGTCGGCCCGCGTCATCACCGAGAAGGACATGTCGCACCCATGTATCCAGGTGTTGCGCGAGGATCTTGGGAGCAATCTTGCGGTGCAGAGCGGGTCGCTCGAGGAGGATTCTTGTGCCATCATGCATGCGAAGCATCTGGCTGTCGGCTCATGGAGCACCTTTTCGCAGGTGCTCGAACTCTTCAACAAGCACATAGAGACAAACTTCTGGCCCGTGCCCACCGGCGAACAGGCAAGAGTAGAAAAGGTCGTTTGTAATCCAGTCGTTTTCGGAAGCCCTCTGACGTATGTGTATCAAATTGACGGCATGCAGGATGGGCACAACAGAATGGATGATGAAGGGGGAGCTGATTATTTAATCGCTTCGCTCATTCCGCTGGCCCGTATTGTGCCGACCTGCAGGCGTTTGCCTGCGCGTTCGTGACCTCTTGGGGCCGTTAGGGGGCGGGCGGAAGGCTCGACTTGGTGGTTCGTGTTTCCCCTCTGGGGCCCCTCTTGGGGCCGTCTTCGGGGTTTCTTGGGCGCCTCTGGGGCCGTTTTGGGGCCCTCTTGGGGCCTTCTTGGGGGCCTCTCGGGCTGTCTTGGGGCGGTCTTGGGGCCTCTTGGGCCGTCTTGGAGCGTCGGGAAGCTGACAAGGCGAGATCGCCAAGATTCATCAACCACCGATGGAAAATCAACGCGTTTTGCCTCTTGGGGCTCGTTTGGGAGGCCTCATGCAGGCCACTTGGGGCGTCTTGGAGGCCTCGTGGGCCGTCTGGAAGCCATCTTGGGTGTCTCGGACGGATCGTTCGACGACTCGGAGCGTTCTTGGACCGTTTTGGGCGCCTCTTGGGGTCCACTTGGAGCGCTCTGGGGCGCCTGAAGGCCGCGCCCAGGAGGAAAACCATCTCGGACCTGCACCACCGGGAGACGTGCCGGGGTACTTTTCGTCCGTGGACCCCCAGGGGCGACCCCGCGCGCGCGAACTAGAAATGCTGTTAATCTGTTACGGGAGATCTTGGCACGCCTGTGGCCCGTTGGGCCCGCGAATTTCGCCCGGCTACCCCTGGAGAGAGTGACCCTCCAGAGCGTCTGCGACGAGCAATCTGAGGCACCATTTGTTGGATCTGTGCGGCTTTTGGTGTGATGGTGTCCTCGTCACGTTCTCGCCACAACCTGCTCCTCCGCCTTCCTCCTTCTCTCCTCCCCGTCCGCCTCCTCATACATACCCCGTCGATTGATCCCGCGTTGCTGGCCGCTGGGTCGTGATCGTATTTTTCCTGTCCGAGCAAGCTGTTTCGCTTGCTGGTTAGGTCTTGATCTCGCTCGCTAGCAAGTCGTTTCGCTTGCTACCAGTTCGCCTACAGGAGACCATGACAAAAACACTTGTCAATACCATGCTCGCCTAGTCTGGGTCGCCGCCTCGTCGCCTCCCGTCGTCTGGACCTGGGTGGCGACCTGGCAGCTCCGTGCTCGCCGTCGCCGCCCCATCGCCGCCTCGTCGCAGCCCGTCGTCTGAGCCTGGGTGGCGGTCTGGCGGTCCAGTCGCGGCCTAGATTGCAAAACACAGATTGCGCAACATAGATTCGCAATCTAGATTCCCCTTTTCTACTGGGACTTAGGATCTCCCGCCCCCCCCCCTTCCCCCGGAATCAAGGGTCTTTTTTTTGCATCGTACACATGATTCGCCCCCATCTTCCATCCCGAAATATGAATTCATACCATCCCAGGCAGGCCGGTATCGGCACACCCCCTTCATCCTGTGCAAAAAGTGCTATGCGCGCGCGCTCGTTGAGCACAAATGATCAGTTTTTCAAGAATCTCCTGAAGGCCGTGAAATAAATGGGACGAAATGCACAGTCGCGCGTCGTCGCGCGCGCAGGCCAAAATCTTTGATACATCTTGGATTTCGTATGGAGTTCAAAATCGAGTGTCCCGATATCCATATCTATATATGTATATGTATGTATATATACACGTATGTGTGTATGTGTATATATATACACATACATGCACATGTGCATTACATACATGTGTATGCATATATTCTTAGATATATATATATATATTCAGCAAACGCATGGTTTCGCAACACGAACGTTGGACAAAACGCTTCCTCTCGGGCTCTTGCGAATTTTCAAGGAGACCACCTGTTTTCAAACATGGTCCTATCTTTCTCAGCCTGCTACTAAACGAGCCCCTCGCGCGCGCATGTCGGAATCGCTCGAACGCCCTTCTGCGCGTGCTGTCGCAGTACACCCTTCCAAAAATAGAGACCAGGTGCACGCGCGCGCGTCGTCGCGCGCGCATGCAGCAATTCTTCAACAGTTTCAGTCTTCGCACTGGTTTCAACATCGAAACAAAAACCCAAACATACAGACAAATACATGGTTTTCAACATCATGTTCAAACAAGTCTGCGCACGCGCCCTTGCGAATTATTGCGGGAACCATGTGTTGTCCCCCAACATATTCATCAAGCTCGACGAAACAGGGCTCCTTGCGCCGCATGCCGAGATCATTCGAACGCCCCCGCGCGCGTGCTGCGGGGGCACGGCTCCTGTCAAATACTACCATGCGGGCCGCTCGCGCGCGTCGGCCGCGCGCACGCATGTCGAACTCCGTCTAAAATTTGCACCACCGACGCGAGGACATCGTCATCGCCATCGGCGCTACCAGCATCGGAGCCAGCATTGGCCTTGCCATTGTCATTTTCGCCATCGTCACCATCATCGCTATTATCATCATCGTGTCTACCGTCGCCGACGTCTCCATGATACCGCGCCCGCCCAGGTCACCAACTCGCATTGAAGTGCCCACGGGGAAGTGGCCAGCGGTCACCTCCACCGCGGCCGCGTCGGTCACGCCAAACTAGCTGGCACCTGTGCGCTCGAGCGTGCGCTGGCCAGCGCGGACGCAGAGATGCACCAGCCAACACCACGCGCTCATTACAATCGCCGCCGCATGGGCTTTTGCAAACTAAGTTGCGGGCAGGTCGGTGGGATGATTGTGCGATCATTGGAGTTGACAGCCCCAAGTTTCTCGGAATTAATCGCGCTGCACAGGTTTTACCACATACATTGCTCCACAACAAATGTACAGCACATACGGCACAACCCATATTCCACAACACTTATTGCACAACACCTATTGCATCCTTTAGATGGTACCACGGGGGTTGCAACACCTAGATTCTATTTTCTTAAATGAGAACCTACCCCCTGTGATTATCGGTTCACCATGTCGTGTTGCAGTTTACATATGGTTGTACCCCATCGCTCATCCAGGATCACAACTCATACCATCACAGTCGATCTGGTATCCTCCCCCCGCCATTTTCTGCAACAAATGCTATGCTCGCGCACTCGCGCATGAATCGCGCGCGCAGCCGGAATCTGCAACAAACATTTTCTGCAGGAATCGCGCGCGCATGCAGGAATCCTTCAACAACCTTCGGTTTCGTCGGTTTCGTAAGGATGTCAAAACCGCGCTCCACATCTTCATTGTTTAAGCGAAAACATGGTTTCGCAACGCGGCTGTTCGGAAAAAACTTGCGTTCGCGTTCTTGCGAACCCTCAAGAAAGCCATAGGGTGTTCGGTGTTCATCATATTCATACAATGCTACCAAGCGGGTTTCGCGCGCATGTCGAAATCGTTCGAACGCCCTTGCGCGCGTGCCGTCGCGAGAATCCTTCGCAACAAATGGGGCGAATTGCGCGCGCGTCGTCGCGCGCGCATGCCGAAATCGTTCCGTAACGCTCGATTTCGTAAGGTTTTCAAAATCGAAACTCCCAAACATATATAAAACCACATGGTTTCGCAACGTCCGCTTTCACAAGAAAGCGTGCGCCCGCAGTCTCGCAGATTGGAGAGGCCTGACGGCCGGTGCCGCCGACCCTGATCGAAAGGGGTAGGAGTGGGGGGAGGAAACGGAGGATGAGGAGGAGGAGGAGGAGGAGGAGGAGGAGAAGGAGGAGGAGGAGCAGGAGGAGGAGGAGGAGGAGGAGGAGGAGGAGGAGGAGGAGGAGGAGGACGTGGAGGAAGGAGGGAGGAGGAGGAAGAGGAGGAGGAGGAGGAGGAGGAGGAGGAGGAGGAAGAGGAAGATGCGCATCCTTTGTGTGCCCGCTCGAAGAAAGTGCGCCCCGGGAGTGTGATATTCTGACTTGGGACGTGCTCCCGGAAGAGGAAGAAGTGCATCTCGGGCGTACCCGCTCGAGGAAAATGCGCCCTAGGGGGGTGGTATTTTGACTCGGGGCCCGCTCCCGGGACGCCTCTGCGGGAGGAGGAGGAGAAGGAGGAGGAGGAGGAGGAGGAGGAGGAGGAGGAGGAGGAGGAAAAGGAGGA